GATGGATGGATGGATATAAGAAAGATGTTGATTTGATTTTGATAATGTATGAATAAAAAGTGAAGGTGTAAAAAGCTTAGGCTACCTACACTTTTTTTCAGTCTATGCCTTGTCTTTTTGACAATGACAGGAATTTAAAGATTGTGTATTACTTTTTTCTGTTTTTTTTCTGTAGTTGTTCAGATGGACTGGTTTTTGTGATTTTTTTTATATTCACACAATGAACAATAAACCATCAAACATGTGTTATGAATTAGTCTCAGCTTCTACCACACCAAATTTAACAACATTTCTGTAAAACTGACATAATCATAGCTAACTGTATTTATGAAAGTGGCCTATCTGCTCCTTGATAAAGGAGGGGCTGAAACAACTGCTCGGTTGAGATTGTGTGTTTTTTAATTAAATAAACTGTTTATGCTGTTTGTGTGGCTCACTCATGTATGTGGAGAGAAAAAGGTGAGGAGGAGAGAAGCCTGCACTTGCCCCTAACCCAGAACCAGATCAGTGGTCATTCTGTTGCAGGAGTTTCAGAGAAACTGACATTTATTCTCTAACCATGACGTCCCAGTGGCTTTCAAACCCCAAAACACATTGGGGCAAAGACTAGTTCACTTCAAAGATCGGGTCCCCGACACAAGCAAAGTAGAAGTTGACTGATACATCGGCCGGCTGACTTTTTTTTTCTTGTATCGGCTGATACGTGCATTTGTTGGCCGATCCATTAGCAGCCACACCTGGAGATCACTGCATGCATTGCTGCTCCCTCCCTGGCAGAGAGCAGCTGATAATGTTGTAAGAATGAGTGCCAACAACAACAAATGTACGTTTTCAACTTTTAACACATTTTTAACTGTCTAATACTGCTGTATCTGCCCTTTGAAGGTCTGTCTGTCACACAGTGAGAGGAGGGAACAGCAGTGTATGTCTCACTCTGAGAACGAGTTGGAGAAGTCATCAGAGGGGTGTGTTTATACCTTTTTTTTTTTCCAGCAAACAGGGTCTGCTGGAGTCATTGGCTAAAATGTCCAAATTCAGGGGCTGGGTCTTTTGAAGCACCCAGCCGACCCAGTTTAGGTGGGTTGGCAGGCTACATCCATCCTCTGCAGATGAGTAGGTTTCATAAAGTCAGTTTGTCTGTCAGGTTAGTGCATCATAGCTCTGACTTTCAGTGACTGATCACTTCCTGCTGAAGATAACTGTCTATAAGTTTTGTTAGTTTACTATCAGAGCAGCAAGGTATCAATCAGGATGGATTTTTTAAAAACTTTTACGCACTTGTACATCAACGTTACCAAATGTATTGATCTTATATTTACAGCAGGTAAAATAAGCATTGAACACATCACCATTTTTCTCAGTAAATATATTACTAGAGGTGCTAATGACATGAAATTTTCACCAGATGTTGGTAACAACCCAACTGATCCATACATACAAAGAAATCAAACCATAAATGTCCAGAAATGAAGTTATTTGTAATAATGGAGTGGCACAGGAAAAAAGTATTGAACACACGAAAGGGAGGTGTAAAAAGGCATGGAAAGCCAAGACATCAGCTGAACTCTAATTTTAGTAATTTTAAAGCAAGCCTGCCCCTTGTCTGTGCATGTTAATAA